TATTTTTATTAGTTCATTATTTCCCTTCTACGTGACTTTACCGAAAGAACCAAGAAGAAGAGGGAGCAGCATTCAGGCCTGCACATTCTAACCCTTGACCCCCCACCACCCACCCTTCCCCACCCACCCACCCTTCCCCATCGTGCGTTAAACGTATAATCCCTTTCTTACGGCACACGATTGTCGATTTTTTTTATATGACCCTAGCCTCGTCTCATCGCGTGTCCGGTGAAATATCGCTCTTGAGATGGAGAGGAGGGGAAGATGAAGGGGGGATGGGGGGGGGGCAGCAGTAATTGACAGTCCGCAGTACAGGAGTCACACGAGTGTGGTGTGCTGCGTACAGTGTGCTGCGTGTTGTCGCGTTAAGTAAGTCCCCGCTGTAATATACGCCGCGTGATGTGCGGGTTATTAGGAAGGAGGGGAGACTGACGCCATCAAACCGCCAGCTGTGCTTCTCTCCCGCAGACTAAATTAAACTGTCAATCAGCTCTCCGCCATCTCGCTGGTTGCTGCCATCCTCCCAGGTATCAGTCGGATTTCACAAGAACATGCGCACCCCACACTACATGCAAGCATCTTGGTGGCAACCCAGCACCCGTGCACAAACGCTCTGGAACAAGGCACGGTACCAAACTTTGCAACGAATTGGTCACGAGATGCGTGAGGAGTAAAGTTCTGGGGGCGGGGTGGGATTGCCCTGAAAAATAAAATCAGGTGCCTTGCATTATTTTGCCACTGCATTGCAAATTAATGGTATTTAACGTTCTACGAAAACACAACATGGAAATAAATGAATCAGTTGCGGCGTTAAAAATGTGGGATCGCTTCCGCGGAACTTAACATTGGGCAACAAACCAATATTCGTGGTGGTAATACTATTATTGTACACGGAAACCCAAAGCAATGCCTGCTACTCGCCAGAATTTTCCACTGCTCCGAGGTAGAAACACCCCCCAATGCGCTGTGCCAACTCGGGCCCAAATCTCAAACAAGCGACACAGTTTACCGCGGCAAATTCTCGCCGAGTTGCAACCGCAAAAAAATAAAATAGTTTTATATTTTTACAGCGGCCACAATTGATACACCTGTGTATTGCACATCCGAGTAGATTAGATAACGCACCCCGTGGCAAATTAAGTATTGCCGTCTGTAACCGCGACCGTTTTTTTTGTTTATTATCACAACCGCTGCATGGATCTGTTCTGCGCCACCACCCCTCCCCTTATGGTGACGGAGGACCGTGCCGGGGCGGTTTGCACCGACGGACGACCGGGGCCCCTCTCCGTCAACCCCCCATTACCCACCGACAAACAATGACGACAAACGTGGCTCCACCGTCTTCACCGTTCGCTGGACCGCGCGCAAGTCAATAACGCGATCGGTCACACTCTTTGGCTCTTTCGGTAAAGTCACGTAAGTATAAAATACAATCAATCACGTTTCAGGCGCAACACGGACGCTTGTGTTGCGTCCGAAACGTCGTGATTTGTTTTATTTTATACCTACGTGACTTTACCGAAAGAACCAAAGAGTGTAGATTTCCCGCGGTCACGAAAGCTTCAAATTTAAGATTGAACGCGATCGTCGTCATTCGGGGGCAACCGGCCAGGGTTGGGCCGCTTTGCGAGCTGAAGAGCGAGCGAGCGAGCGGTGGTGGTTTAAAGTGGGACACCGGCAAACACGGGGGCCCCACTCCGGGCTTGTTTATCCCCAGCACCGTGATAGTGAGTAATCAGCAGAAAAGCAAGACCAAGGCAAACATAATTAGTCAACGGGTGAGCGATCCGTTTCTAGGGATTAGCGGCAGTGCTGCTGCTGCCAGTGCTCGTCGCGTCCCCCCTCTCCACCATCCTCTCCCCCCCCCCTTTATTAATTCCCTCTTAGTGTCACCTTTAATTGCTGACATTATTATCCTGGGGTTAGGGCGAGATGAGCACACGGGTAATTATCTGAGCAGGGGACGTGCCCGTTCGCGAACGCGCGCGTACGCACGCACGCTCGCTCGCTCACACGCGAAGCCGTCACGTGCCAAGCGCGGCACGTGCACGCACCCAGACCCGGTCACTCACGTTCGCGTTGAGAGCCACCAGACAGTGTTGGGCTTGGGTCGTCGGTTTTTCCGATCATAGGCGTGCTCCGTTTAAACATTGAAAAGGACAAACATTCAGCGTTTTTTTTTTGTTTAAATCAAGTATTCAACGGCGAAAATAATAATGATCTTCAAATTGTCAATAGGAAATGGTGCGTCGCGACTTCGTTGGCAGCAATAATGAAAAAAAGATATATACAAATAAAATTATAGTGAATCTTATTATTATACCAACATAATCAACGTGATCAAAACGCTTGTTTTATGCCAGGATTTCAAGACTTTAAAAAAATGCAATTGTTTGGCAATAACTGCGACCAAAGAATTATCAATCTGGTGCGCCATTGCGACCCAAGACAGGACAAGCAATGGAGCCCCGAGTCTTTTTCCCGCTCCCCGCGTTCAACAAAAGGAGGTAAGAAGCACTGTCGAAACGTGGCCGAGCTCCCCGCTAAACATCAGCGGCAAGAAATTCGCAGTCTTCGAAGAAACCCCTCGCGCTCTCCGAATAAACCCGACGACGTATTCTCATCGGTCGGAGGAAATTTTCTGTCCCCCGTGTTCTCGTCTACTTTGTCCTCGCCGTTCGGAACGCCGCGACCGTGATTTTTTTTTTTGCCGGACATCGGCTTGATTTGTGAGGTGGCTTAACGAGCCAGGAAAGCCACGTTAGACTTTTGGAAATTCCTGCCAGCAACGTTGCCTGCTGCCTCACAAACAAAACCACATCTACATGGAAAATAATACGTAACAAAAAGAAAAAGAGCGCATCGAGTTAAGTTTCCAAAAGTAATTTTACGGCACTGGCCATTACCAGTAACAGTTCCAATAATTTGCTGCTCACATTTTAACAATCAATGATTTCCAGCCCGGAACAAGCAAACTAATTGCATCTCACCACATGCGGTATGTACTTTGCCGGCTGGTTTTTTTTTCATCACGTCAAAAAAACCCCTTGACGTTTCTTGGCTCTGGTAGTAGCTGAACAAAAAAAAATAAAGAATAAATAGAGCACCTGGGAACGGCCAGGCCCCCCGAATTAATGCCGTCGCTATGGTGACCGGGCCAAATTTCCCACAATTCCGTGGGCTCCCTATAGACCAATTTCATCCGCACCACACCTGGCTCTTTGTTTGCGTGTGCCTGTGTACACGCACCGCTTTACACGTACCAGCACACCCCATTGCACGTGCTTACAAATCACAAATAAAACACACTCTGTAATGCGTTCTCATCAATTACTGCTCTTTCTACACGCGCGGCATTCATGTGGACAATTTCGCCAGTTCATTTCACGTTTAGAAGCGAGGAACGAAGATTTCCTCAAAAGCATTCATCGGTTTCGGTGTTGCGTACGCTTGTTCGTTTTGTACGCGTACAGACTTAAGATTGAGGAACACGGATAATGAATACAATGCTAAAGGCATCCTTTATACATAGCATTTCACTACACAATGTTAAAATAGAAGTCCCGCATTAACGCTTTAGGCATCGGCGTGTTTCGGAGCACTTTGGCACGTCCATATTTAAATTCGATTACAATGCGTTGCATTTGAAGGCACGTTTCCATTCGAAATAAGACTGTTCCAAAATACACAAGTTTAAAAGAACGCATGGCCTTTTACACAAACACACTCCAGTGAGTGGGGTTAGCGGCCACGCAAGGCAGAGACGAATGGGACTTGGCGCAATGAAATTAACAATCGGGGAAACATTTCACGTGACCGTGGTTGTAATGACGATTAAAATTGTTTCATCCATTTGTGGACATTCTAAATATATATGTTTTCAATATTCCACAGCATGCGTGTGCGAACGTCGTACGTAGCTCGTATTTGTCTTGTCAAACCAGGGGGGGTGGGAGGTTAGTGGGGGGCGAGAGGGGTGGGGGCGGGGGTTCTGCGGGGATGGGAAGGGAAGGAAACAGAAGGGGATTAGAGAGCATCAAAGGGTGCCCTACTTGACACGTGATGAATTAGCCCGTGTGTGCATGCACGTACACGCATGAACTCTGCGTGAGAATGCAATTGTTCGCGGGACCGGCAAATAAAGTGATTGCCGCCACACACACACACACAACAAAAAAGAGAGAAATCAACAGACTGCGTGTGCCATCGCAAAAAAAAATAAACCTTAAGCATGTCATACTTCAATGCGTTAATTCAACCAATTTAAGGAAACACCCAACATTTCACATTTAATTAGACTCCATGAATGCATTTCCAATACTAATACCATAATAATAATGAAAGTTATTTTCAAATGTAATAATCTCATGCATAACAAAATCCAACAGGAAATTGCAATGTACACCGATTACTCATTATGCAAAATGAAATATATGCTTAGCTTCAAAGACATTCTGCTTGGCAATCTGCAAAGACACCTTACCCACGGGTTTGACCATCGCACATCTCGGACAATGGAAATTGCCAAACTGAGTGAGACGCGGTTTTAAACAAGTCCAACAACAACAACAAAATATCAACGTTTGACAACACATTGGTCCCTTTACTACATATCCTTCCTTTTGCTTGACGCGTATTTGTGTTTGCCACCTAAACCTGTTACCTATCACTTAAGATTGTCGAAGCACCAATTCAATCACCAAACACACACGCGCGCGCGCACACACACTTTCGTTCACGTATTAAACATTTTCTTTCGCTCCAATTTCTTCCCACCGGCTCCAGCTGCACGCGAACGACAGCGGAGTAAATAAGTTGGGCGAATTGGCAGACGCTTGCGAGCAAACGGGTCCCTCCTCTCTTGGCCCCTCCCCATGTTGCACGCGCTACCCCCAGACCGCAATGCGGTGAAATCAACAGCCACGTCAAACGCCGGCCACCTCGCGAGAAAAGCCGCCCCTTTCTCTCACACCGCTCGCCAACCGCCGCTGGGCGATGTGCTGCCAACGGCGAATTCGCCACCACTGCCACCGCCGCTGCCACCACCGCTGCCACCACCGACTCACCGGGCCGGCGGGCATTGCCGGAAAGCGAATGGAATTTGAGCATTTCTGATCAATTAAATCGCCTATTATTCTTTGCTCGGCGCATTTGGGAAACCCGTTCTCGGCGATGCCAAGGCTACGGTGGTTTCGTTTAAAATTTGTTCGGTCTGTTTTCGAGGATGTTGTCGAGCAGTTAAAACAAAAAAAAAACAAAGTGACCCTCCGTCGTGGATTTGTCAACGATTGGCGCGATGAACGGATATGGCCACAGCACGCGGACGCGTGCTGTCGGCATCAGCTGAGCAAATGTGCGTTGGTTTTTTATTTTCTTTCTTCCAATTTGCTCGTCTTAAGTTTTAATATTTGACTTCGCCTGTAACACGGTTCGTGAAAGTTGAGAAATTTAAGGCGGACAAGAAGTAACGATGGCAACGTAGTTTCACCGCATTGCGCGTTACCTTAACTAAATCACAGCAATTGTAGAGTGTTTAACGTAAGCATTCAATGCCATCGCGGTGGCAGATGCCCTTAATGCCTTATGATGTGCACGTTCGAAAGTGTTTACGCGACATTACGTTTAAATGGTCGGATTGCCGACTTCAATAAAAGATCACGCGTAATAATCAAACACAAAACAGAATGATATCGTAGCAGCCATTCTCTCCCCCCCCCCCCCCCCCCCCTTGGCAAAGCATGATTTTAATTCGCTACAAATAAAATGCGCGCGCGCGCGCGTCGTGGAATATTGCACTGTTGGGCAGTTTCGAGTGCTCTCTCGCTCCCTCCCTCTCTCTGTGTGTGTGTTCCTATCGGCCAGGCCAACTCTGCCCCCATCTGTCAGCTGTGGAACATCCCCGCTCCGTGAGTCGCACCCGTCACACAGCTCAATTGGCCCTTCAGGCCAAGTTGGCTTCTTACAGTGGCTCACCACCCCACCCCACCCTTCATTTGCAGTGGAGAAAAGTTTTATTTATTTATTTGTGTGTGTGTGTTCTCGGAAAATACTACTCAGTGTTACACTGCCCGCGCAATAGATGTTAAACGAAGGAATCATGTTGGTGGTATAAGAATATGTTTTATCCTTTCTGGCAATAAAGCAAATGTTAAACCACCAAATAGAAACGTTTTGCAAGGAATCCTGTCTGCATTAACCGCACATAATTGTGGTGAACGTGCAAACAAAAACACGCTCCGGTAATGTATGCGTTGTCTTTGAAACTGATTGGTCCACACCAGAGACAACTTTCTTTATGGCCTATTCTCAAACAGTTTTATACCAGAGAATGCCAAAAGGCGAACAGCACAAAGACAATGCACCATCATTTTGGTAGTACATTCAGGGCGACAAGTCTAACATGGGATAGGATTAACGCTTCCAGTGAATGGCCTGTCCCGGAAATATTCTGTTGCTACTTTTACAAGTGTTGATGCGTTAAGTGGAAGCACTTTCATTACTAAATGTGTCGTTAAACTCGCTACCACCCGACACAGCCAATTGGTAAGGTTTGTCACGTGAACATAACGTGCCAGTTAGTTACTTTTTTTTCCATGAATATGCTAAATTCCTCTTCATATGCACATTCTTTTTGTTAAGGCGCTCTTCCACCTCCAACGCAGCTTATATATAAGCTCCTAGCTTGGCAGAGTCTCATTCTTCACCTGAAGACGGCTGCTTGCGTTGTAGCCGAAACGTCGTGAGAATTATTTTATTTCATTATGTTTTATTTTTATTATTGTATTACTTCCCTTCTACGTGACTTTACCGAAAGAACCAAGAAGATGAGTTAGTTACTTGTTCAGCACACTGGTGTGTTGGTGAGTAAACACCACGTCATTTACAATTTGAGTACGACGTTTTGCTGGCAATTACAACCAGCTTCATCAGGCGATGGTTCTGGCTATTTGGCTGGGTCAGGTGGTAGAGGATTTAATAACACATTTTTTATTTATGCGATATAACCCCCAATAAAAACTCTATTATAGATAATACTGGTCACGAAAGCCTACTACAGAAATGCAAGGTAGTTACCTTGCATTTCTGTTCTTTAACACAGCGGTATGCGTTTTTATTTCCTCAACTACATGGACATGAGTAAATACACAACTGCAACTCAATTTCAAGGAGAGCGATACAGCAAAATTACAAAAAAATACGCAGTAGTAATTTAGTGGTTTGCAATCTTTTGGCAAACCAATGTTGGGTGAAGCCCTCCCCATTCCATTTCAGTCATGCGAGTTATTTGACAATACTTCACCAGGCTGGTCAGTGCGAGTTAAAACACAGCACTAGAAGCAGCCAAGACCAGTTCAGATATATATTCTTAGGTTTTTTCGGTAAAATCACGTAGGTAAAACATTAAAATTAATAAAAGTAAAACAAAATAAAAATCATGACGTTTCGGAAGCAACACAAGCTTCCGTCTTCAGGTTGAACCGTCACAGCCCGACAGCTGTATCAAGTAAATGAGAGATTACAGGAGATACCACTCCGTATATATAATGGTTGAGGGGGGGGGAGGGGCAGGGATGGCCCACTTTTTATTATTATGGTAAGGTGCGGTTTAAGACTATGAATAGACTGCATAACAAAAGACTGAGCCTTTATTATGGAGAGGTTCGGTTTGTGACTACGCCTAGCCAGATACCACTCGCCGTCACTGTTAGCTGTGGCCAGGAATCGAACTCAAGTTGCTGGGTTTGGAGTACAGTCCACGAACCATTGTGTCGCAATTTTATCTGCCACATTCACTTAATGGGGGTTTTGACCTTTTTTTAAAAAAGGAATGATAGTCATTTGGCATTTACAACTTATAAATGGATCCAACTGTTTAAATTCATGCCAGAAAAAAACAATGAAAAGATAAAATGACACGAAGCTGTTTTCAATTTCAACTCATTATTTAGAATTTAATTCACTCACATTTGGGCCATTAATTTTTCAGTAAACCAATACACATATATGCATAATCAACCAGTCTCTTTCCCCGCACAATACCTACCAGTTTGTATTACAAAAAATATATTTCCTAAATAAATAAAAAGTATTGTACACAGAGACCTCCCATATAGCCTACAGAATAGCAACAGACTATTTGGGTGCATTAATTGCGAACAATCACTTTAAAAGTTAAACCCTTCACAATTATACCCAACATCAGTTAAGAATGTTTTTTAAACGGAATATATTTGTTTATAGAAATGTATTACGTAAACAATATGCACACTTCAAAAGCATTTACATTCTGATGGTTCAAGCAATTAATCCAGTCGATTATAAAATAAGTACCTGGTGCATATTGTAAACATCAGATGTAAGGATATGAAGGCAGTCGGGCGTGGTGCTATGCTGAGCGTGCCTTCATATGTGCTCACGAAGAGCACTGGTCCCACTGTGTATCTGCATTATCTTTGGTTCTTTCAGCAAAGTCACGTAGGTAGAAAAATAAAACATTTTTATTTTGTTTAATTTTTCTACCTACGTGACTTACCGAAAGAACCAAAGAGTATGGATTCCTACAGTCACGAAAGCTTCACATCAAGATTATATCTGCATTCACTGTATATATATGTATTTGCAAACTAGGTTTCACTTGAAATGGAGGCTTTGTAGTTTCAATGGGCTCTCGCCTGCTTGTAAATAGAGAGACTGAGCTACGGAGGAAACAAACATCGTGTTTCGACTTAAAGCTTTCCTGACTGCAGGGATTCATCTTCTTGGTTCTTTCGGTAAAGTCACGTAGAATGGAAATAATAAAATAATAAAAATAAAACATAATAAAATAATTCTCACAACGTTTCGGCCACAACGCAAGCAGCCGTCCTCAGGTGCAGAACAGGTCTGTCGAGGAGACAGAGGCTGCTTGCGTTGTGGCCGAAACGTCGTGAGAATTATTTTATGATGTTTTATTTTCATTATTTTATTATTTCCATTTTACGTGACTTTACCGAAAGAACCAAGAAGAAACAAACATCGTGTTATCTACTTGAACAACAATAGAAAGGGGGCCTTTGTTTAGTTGCGACCCATGCATGATCCATCTGTTCTCACGGTAAAGGATACAGGTCACCAATAAGGTCATCTCCGCTCGAGTGGTAAAGAAGCCGATCGTGGCCACTGCCACCACACTGTTCTCGTTGGGCCACGAGGTCTTTGCCCGTTGGACCAAACTGTTCTTGCGCGAGGAAGCTGCCAACGCTTTGCACGCACAAGGGGGTTGCAGCAGGGAGGGAAAGTTGAAAATGTTTACGACAAAGCCACTGACCGCCGTGCAGCATTGTCACGTCTCTCGAGAGGGGGCCCATCATCGTACGTCGATGTACTCGGTCGCGGTGTTTTGCTACTCGTGTGTCAAACCCAGTTGGCAATCAAATCATTATTCTGGCAATTAACATAAAGCATAAAACCTCATTTTCAAGATTGTCAATCGCTGGGGGATTCATACAATTACTATTATTATTTTTTTTTCTAAATATATACCGTACAAGAATTCCAGGAGGTCTACGTTTTTGGCAAAACGATTTGATTGTTTTGACCGGTAAAACAACAGATAGACGTAATATTTCATTGTTAAACAAAAAACGCGCTTTGTCCCCACCGGTGCAGCAATTCATAAAGCGAAATTGCAAATGTGTACAAGCGTATTTGGCAGACGCACACCTTCTGCAGTCGATTCTTAGATTTCAAACCACCAAGCGGGTCTTTGTATTGCAGAAACAACACATCCCTCTAATCAACATTAGTTGTGTGCATGGTAAATACCGAGCTCTATTACACAGCTTGGCATCGGCCACTTGCAACAGCTGCATATTCTTTATTGCATTAGCCGTGATTTATGTTTTGATTTGTGATGGGTGTCTCTAAGCAAACGCTTAGAGCTATGTTACTAGTTTTACTTGTGCTATTTTACCAGGTAAGGCCCACTGAGCTGCATTGTTCTGCGAAGTGGCTTATCGTGTAGAAATGTATAGCAGCTGGATACTCGAAACGCACGTTCATTCTAAATGTGCAGGGAAAACCCGGAGAACCCAGAGAAAATCCACACGACCATGAGCAGAATTTTCAAACTCCAAATATAGAGCAGGCGTCAGGGTCGTGCTCAAACCCACGACCTCGTGTATACCAGGCGAGGCAGTTAACATCTCACCACCGGGGCACCCTTTCCCGACTAGAACTACAGCAACGCAACGATGGGTGCCGTAGGTGGTCTGCACATCAAAAGCCACACACCACGACCATCGTTGCAGGGCATACATTAATTCAACAATTTCTCTTTGTGGGAAAAGAGTACAACAAGCAATCGGTGACGGTATCAAAACGAGCGACGAAAGGCACGAATAGAACGGTTACACGATTTAGTAACGATGTCATTTCTGTCACTGGAATGCTTACACGCAATGTCGTTTATAAAAGCGATACACGTCCGACTGATGTGCTGTGCAGTGCAGGTATGGTTAACATCGATGTATGTAGAATAGATTGCACAGCATTTTAACACGGAGGGGTGCAGCAGGGTTGCAGCGGTTAACACACCACTAACGCGCATTCTCGTCTTGGGCTCGCTCCTTAACCAACTCCCATTGACCGGTGTGGTGAAGTATGGTCAAAGCATCTCATGACTAACACGGCATGGGGACTTTAATCAAGCAGTGGATTGACAAGGGGCTGTATATCCATGAAATATATATTTAGAAACAACATGTTTTGTAAATGTTAACATTCATTAGAATTCAGCCACTGCACATACAATATTTCAATCAACAAATATGTTCGATTAGCACGGTTGGTGCTAATCGAACATACGGTGCGAAATGAGTTCAACATTACATACAAAAATCCATTGCGTTCCAAACAAACGAAACGGACGAAACATGAACATTTAGAACGGCAATGTCTCGCGTTCTCTCTCTCTCTCTACACCGTCGGGAGACGAAGCTGTTCAACAAAACTCACTTTCCAGAAAGGCCACCTCCTCACTTGATGCCCCCCCCCCTCCCGTTGTCTTGTCCTGCCTGCCCCCCCCCCCCCCGCCCCGTGATGCACCCACACGCGTCGGCTGATACTGCCAGCTGGGAGCCCCGAGGGTCCTGCTCTGTTGCGTTTCCCTGCCAGGCACCGCGATTAGACATTGAAGGCAACGTGGGAGAAAAAAAACGAAAGAAAAAAAACCCGCACAGAGCACTCAGATACAGAGACGTTTCTTCAAAGGATTTTGTTTGTCTTATACGCTAAATGCACATAAATCATTCAGAGGATGAAACATCTTTGTTAATGGTGCTTAAGAGGGGGGGGTGGAATTCGCACGCTGACAAGCGCACGGGCTCGAAAGTGCCAAGCCATTTCTAAAACATTAAGCATCGCCCGGTTCAAAACAATTATCATCGATATCCTCCAGTATCACATTGCAAGTGTATGTTAGAGCCCTGATGATTGTAAGATGGAAAAAAATCCACACAAAATACTTGCATGTATAAACGCAGGGCTGTTCAGTCAATTGGTTACCAACGTGTAAATAAGCCACCCTACGTCTTGCTCTTAAGCAGTTTGATGGTGGGGGGGGGGGGGGATTCGGTGTTGTTACAATTCACGCCATCGGGAGCTGCTTTTACGACGGCTGCTTCCGTTCACGGCTCAATCATGTTTGTTTTGTTTGCAGGTGCTGTCACCGTGACGTGCTCAGCGCAATGGAACACGGGGCAATTTTTTTGTTGGCACGTCATTAAATCAGCCATAATCAAAGTTTGGCTTCATATGAATACCAGCCAATACCATTTCGGTGAACGTCGGCACGTGTAATGGCGCAACACATCACGCAGCAAGGGTACAGCGTGCCACGCTGAGTGTCTACAAGGCACTCCGTCAGAGGCCTACAGGAGTGCATTATCGTTATAAAACAGCTAAGCCGCTTATAAATAAATAAAAAGTTGACTCATTGTAATTCCGCGCATATAAAGGCAATGGTGGATGTGTGGTGAGGCACGTATTTTAAATGTTACATTTGAACAAACGTTACACACGTTTTTTTTTTAATATAAGGTAAGTATAATTGCTTCCAAGCAGAAAACTATTTAAGGAGTTTGTTTACATTTTATTTCAAAGTGGATGCGTCAGTGACATTGTTGTCTTTATGATGGTTCGTGCAACCAAATAAGGTTTCCACAAGTTTCCATGGGAAAATACAAAAGGCTGGTCAAAAAGCGTTGAGAGTGAACGGATGAAAGATCGTCTCGTCGACAGCCCTGACGGCTCATATTTGTTTACGTCCACCACTTACATTAGACCTCTCTGCGTGTCTGACACAATATGAATAGTGTAAGATGACCTCACTATACAAGATTACTTAAAACCTACTCGCCGGTAACACGAGCCTAAAGTGTTACAAATACATAATTGTTGTTGACAACAGTATCAATTATTACCATAACACACATTTTAGTTTTTGTTTTTGATAGATGCATCAAGCGCAACTTGAAATATTAGACAAACGCCGTTAGAGCCGAGACACCCACACATTTGCCAGAACGCAGCCCAACTCTTGCGAATGCCCCACCCCATTGTATAATCAAAACCAGAGTCTTTATTAAGATTGCAGGAGGAGGAATCCGATGATGTATGAAGCTCTTCCACAGATATCCAGTATGGGCGGGTCAGACAAGTTACGGCAGCAAAACAATACGACAACAAAAAACGATATGAGTTCAAAACAGAAAAAATGGTAAGCAAGTCACTAAATATTTCTATTAAAAAAGTCTGATTTATCAAGCTTTGGCAATGCAGCAAAACCAACAGCAAAAACAGTCCCAGACCACACAAAGATAGCACAGCTCCCTCAATAAAATGGCACATTAACATTGAACTATCGACACACAGGCAATGCTTAAAATTTACAAATCACATTTTCAAATGTGACTGTATCCAGCAGTTAACTTCCGCTTCAGGATATACAAAATCACCCGCCCAATAAGAAACACGCGAAAACACTCACGCATGGCCATCATATCGGTGCCAATAACTACCGCTTTCTATCAATTCACAACAGCCGCGGTTGAATTTTAAGGCCGTCCCACAGACGGCTTCAGCATCGGCAATTAGTCGATGTTACTGCAGATCGCGGACTTGCTGATCTACACAAGCAGTCTCAGTCGATGTTACTGCAGATCGCGGACTTGCTGATCTACACAAACAGTCTCAGTCGATGTTACTGCAGATCGCGGACTTGCTGATCTACACAAGCAGTCTTAGTCGATGTTACTGCAGATCGCGAATGTGCTTATCTACACAAGCAGTCTGTCCGGATATATCGTCACGAAGAGAGTTGCTGTGCAGAAGCTGTCTGACAAGTTGCATTGGATAAAAATTAGCGTACACAGTCCCTCATTGCATTTTAAGTCGATAACGGCTGATAAGCGTAAATGTTCAATTCAATTAAAATAATGAATAGATTGTTGTTCGTGGTATAACATCGCGGTGGAGTAGAGGCGCAGTGGCTCGTGCTTTGCACGATAAATCACGGTTTGTCCGAGTTTGATTCCCACCCAGGATAACATCACGTGGCGAGCAATATCTGAACTGGTCTTGATTCCCCCTTCCTTTCACAAACTCACCGGTCTGCATTGACCTGCATGGTGAAGTATGGTTAAAAGAAAAACTAAGACTCCGAATGTGAAGGCATTCATCCAACAGTGGATTGACAAGGGACTGTAAATTATAACCAATAATTATTATTCCCCATACATACTTGCACACTGCATTACAGGATATTTAATGCAGCGATGTTATACTAAAATGAACATAATTTTTCAATGTACGTCGCCAACTGATTAGTATGGTTGGCTACGTATGTCGTGAAAGAAGTCCTAACATACATACAATAATTTTTGTTACGCAATTAATGATTCCACCTGGAGAAGGATAATGCTGCAGTATTAAAATACAGTGACTGAGCTTTCCAGGTCAATGTTACCCAACAGCATTTGGTTAAAAATTCAGGGTTTGGAACCGATTTCGACCTTATGGTTCTCATCAGCATAGGTCATGGTGGTTAAGAAAATACTGCCACATTGCCACATGTTATTAGCAAGACCATTCCATATGCGAGATGTGACCCTATTCAGTACGGAAATAAATATCTTTTTTTTTATACTCGATGTGTGTTGTTGTACAGGCTTATGTATAATTGCGATTTTTATGGAACATTGTGGTTACGTGAATGGAGATTAGTGCAATTTAGTTTCTCCAAAACTCTCGGTAACAACGCATAATGAGGTTTTATTTAATTAAAATATCACGTTGTCACCGTTGTTATTATTTGTCTTACAACTAACAAGGAGAGTCTGAATTTCATGGGCATTTGAACTCGAATATAATGATAAAGCAGTGATATAAAATCGCCGCGTTGTATTGGCTTCTTCTCATCCCGGCGTATTATTGTGCTGGCCTTCATGAACGCCGGGTCTCTCTATTACATGCGTATACTCCACTGGAGCATTTTCATAAGCAAATAATGTAAAATATGAAGACAAAAATGAGCACATACTGTACATTTACAAATAACAACAACAAAACATGATTAATGGTGTATCATCAAATGATACCATGGGCAGGCACACCATTAAATTCTGCAAAAATGTAATGTCTGATGGACCACAGAGTATCTTGAAACCATCACACAATCTCGCTCATGCCTATCCTTTCCCCAGCCTATGCGGCAGTGATGCACACATCATAATCATCCATAACAACGTGGAAAGTAAATGCCCCCGAAATTGAGCTTGCTTATGAAGTGAATAGATATTCCAGAGTGTGGTTTTTTTTTTCGATGACACAGATTTGATTTTCTCTCTACGTTGCAGTGTACATCTGCCTGGGATGCTTCTCTCTTTCAGTCCAGCTCATTCACAGATGCCACTGGGTTCACGAACTTCCGGCCTCAGCAACAATCCTCTACCGTTGGCGAACATCATCATCATCAGATCCCATCTGTTGCTGATGTTTACATGTCATTTCTCCCTGTGTCAGTGCCTCCTCCACTCCATCAATTCATCTTTGTCCTGGTCACCCTCTACCTCTGTTTTCCTTCCACTAACACTGCCATCGCTTTTACTGGATTCTTATTTTGTGCCATTACTCTGACATGACCAGCATGACCAGTCCAAGGCGGTCTTCAAATCCTCCGATTTATACTATTGTCCGTTCCATCTTCAAGTTATCTCCAATGCCTTCATTTCTCATTCGACATAACCTTGTTACTCCGAGTATTTTCTGTAAGCACGTTATCTGAATAACTGGCCTCATACGTTCTTCTTGTGTCCTTGCATTCCAGGTGTGTGATGCATGTAATAGGCAAGGCATGGTAGTACCATGTTCTCGTCAACATGCTATGCGCTCCGCAGAGCGTACAAATACCCTCTCTGACTCGGTTCCCACCCTTCACTCCCTTCTTTACCTCCCTATTGGACAAAGCCACGCAACTTCCTTCCACGTGCACCCAACTGGTTTTTTTTTATCTGGCGTCTCTTTTGTCTCAAGTTATGTTTGCACCGAGCTTATTTCTTTGGAATGTGTGCGTATGTCGCCAAAGATCCATTAAATACCTCGTTTGTGAGTTGGGCAATACTCAAGTGCCCTGTACTCGTCCTCTGCAATAATTACTGTTGTTGTTGCTGCTGATGTGCTCACACGCCGCAGATCGCCCTCGCTAAAAAAATAGCCGGAAAACTGGCTAAATGGGGGACCATCCGTATAGCGGATCAATATAAAACTAAACTAAGCTAAACGAGTGGTGCAACGTTTCACCGTATCTGTAACTGTGCACGTCTCGCCGTGAACACGAAACCCATCGGAGTGATGTCCTCCTATCGTCGGCTGGGGAAGGGGTCTGTGCTCTCGATGCTTCTGGCTCAAAGCAATGTTGTTTTGCATATTTACAGCTACGGAGTTGCAACCCGTTGTGTGTGTGGCCGACGGGGGCTGACAGTTCAATTCTCCACGAGCAGCTGGCTTTGCGCACGGCGCAATTTGCTTCGAATAAGATGAAGCGAATCTTGACTTAAGGCTTTCGAGACTGCAGGAATTCATATTCGTTGGGTATTTCGGTAAAAGTCACGTAGATAGGTCATCAGGTGATGACGATCGCTGCGTTGCAATCGAAACGTCGTAGTTTTTTTTTATTTTCTTTCAACCTATCTACGTGAATTTTTCGATTTCAAGCTTTCGTGACTGCAGGGATTCATCTTCTTGGTTCTTTCGGTAAAGTCACGAAGAATGGAAAAAATAAAAGAATAAAAAATAAAACGTAATAAAATAATTCTCACGACGTTTCGGCCACAACGCAAGCAGCCGTCCTCAGGTGGAGAACAGGTCTGTCGAGAAGACAGAGTCTGACTGGCACGCCCCAGGCTTGGAGCGACTATTTAAGCTGGGATGGAGGGGCGAAGAGCGTCTTGACAAAATAATTTACCGAAAAACCCAAAGAATAAGATGAAGCGAGTCCGGCAGGCACCCTTTGACACGACGTGACCTCTGCAAGCAAGCTCCAGTCGACGTGGTCACCGTGTGTTGGAGGCGGGCAAACACTTGGGGGGGGGGGGGGTTTCCAGCGACGAAACAATTAGGGGAGAGTTCACGACTTGCCACCGACAGAGCAGGAACCTCTCGGCGGCTGCCCGCATTGTTTATTGAACATATTTATCAAGGAGTTGTACTCTTTAGGCGACTCAACATCCAGTTTACACGAGAGGTTCCTAGGGCGGGCAAAAAAAAAAACAAATCAGCGGACGCAACAAAAATCCATTACCGCGGCGGGACGTAAATGCACGGGACCGCACAACTCGTGCCAACGAGAGGAACACAACAACAAGGGCCGCTTAAATAATTACAGCGCAATAAAGAGTGGCGTACGGTCGCACGGTTTTATTAACACTCGGCGCGCGTGCTGGATGACTCAAGCGACCTCTCCACCACCGCCACCACCACCATCCCTGCGCCATGCGGATTATGGTGGTGGTGGTGACCGTACTTCACCACACTGGCCGGTGCCAGGTCAGTTTATGTCGGGTGATGCCCATTGAGCTCAGAAGCTCGTTTCAAAATAGCGACCTGCGGGCCTGTTTTTTTTGTAGACGTGGGAGCGTAGTGCAGTACAACAGTGCCATTTGATGCATTGCCTTTTGCTGCTGACGAAGTAGTCCCACAGCAGCCCGCAGCACACGTTTCATGCACGGTGGGTGCCCATCCAAGCACTGTTCTACCTGCACGGCTGGCTAAGTACGGTGCGAAAGAAAACTAAACATACATATTCAGGCTCAAACCTGTTTCCCTTCCGAGATATAATGAGATCGGATGCATTCTGGATGATTTTGCCAAAGGCAAACAGCTCAGCTTGATGCAGCATCTTGATGCAGCTAATCTGGCTGTGACGGTCCCACCTGATTACGGAGACTTGTGTTGCCTCCGAAACGTCGTGATTTTTATTGTTTTATTTTAATTTTAATTAAAAAAATTTACCTACGTGACTTTACCGAAAGAACTAAGAGTATGAATCCTTGCAGTCACGAAAGCTTCAAATCTAAAACGTATACACACTTAAAACTACGAGTTTCCATTTATTTGAATAAATGTTGAACAACGGCCTGAATTGAATGAGTGAGACGAGCTGTCCACGACGCTGTCCCCTGTAAGCCGACTCCTTCCACGTTTTAGACGGCCCTCTTCTCTACGCTATCGCTGACCGTTTCCATCTTTCCCCGATTTCTTGTTCGGTTGAACAAACGTCTCCTCCATAACGTGCAGACATTGCCCTTTGTAGCGCACGCAGAGACGCACATCGCATTGAGACGCTTCGTGCATTCACTCTGTACTGGATTGCTACGCGATGTTTAATTGCACGTGGGGCCTGTATGGCAACCAGAGCTCTCTCGTTACGTCAATTAAAAAACAAAAAGCTGAAACCTGTGACAACCATCTCACACATTTGCCGGAAGGGTAAGGCAGAACACTGGCATGTCTGCTCATGTGGAGTGTCTCACGGACCAGTCTCGTTAACAAGAAAAAGCTTGGATTTACAGTGTCCATAAAAAGGTATCATCCATTATTAAACAAATAGTACATTGGCAGCAGTTTCAAGTGCATGACTGATGTGTTTGAAACGTGCTCCTTACGTATTTTTACATTCAGTTCTGTACTCGCGTGTTTTTTTTTTGTTAAACCAAGAAGTAATGAAAGATCTGCGGTGGCATGGAACGGAAGCATTTTAAACCATCACACCCAGCAATGCTGATGAACATCTGGGGACTATCAAATGTCAATGCGACAAGAGTCACCAATGCCATCGGGGACTTGGGAGAGGCTCAGATGGCTGGGATTCATTAAAAGTATAATCTACACACTTGGCTACGTTTTTTCAGAACAATAATTGAACACGTAGCAGGTGATATTGCCTTAATGTGTTTAGTGCACTTTGAAATAATAGTATTGATAATGCATTTTAAGTTTAACACGGAGGCTTTCGCGACCAATATTATCCATGAAGGGTTTTGGGTTAGATTGTGTAAATATGCACAACTATGCCTGTCGCCTTATGATGCTAGTTGTAATTATTGGCGATGCGTTATACTCAAATTGTAAATGCTGTGGGTTTACTCTCCAACACACCGGTGTGCTGAACTAGTAACGAATTGGCACGGTTTTATTACCTGACACACCTTACCAATTGGCTGTGTCGGGTGGTGGCGGGTTTAACGACACATTTATACTTACACGATCCAACCCAAACAACCTCTACTATGGATAATGCATTTTAACTTGGTGAAGCCTTCATCCAATTTTAAAGATGATTATTTTTGCAAGAGGGTCCCACTACATTGGGATGTTTGGCCAAAACTCCTTCGTGAGCGTTCAGATTCACGTGAGATGAACCCAGAAGCAAAAGAAACCTCGCACGTAAAAAAAGAAAACCCCATCTCCCTTAACAAGGTCTCAAAACCAATTAGCTGCGGAATATTCTTGTATCAGAAGCCGATGCACACGATCGTGCTACGGTTCTGAAGATGTGCATTATACTGCCATTGAGCAATGTGGAGCAGTCGATATTTTGGAAAGA